TTACTGCACCCCCGCGCCATCACTTCGATATGTTGCAGATTCTAGCCATAAGAGGAGCCATTTTGGAAAACGGAGTCAGTCTGTGGAACGATCACGGAGAAATGTTCTGACATACTAAAAAAAATCTCCGAGCTTCCAAGTGCTCAACAAATTCAAGTTTTCGACCCATATTTTCTGTTACTTGTTGTCAAATCTTCCCCCGACTAATTCTACTCCTGTTTCTACGATATTTAGATTAGTAGGAATCCTGAATACTGCAAAAATATATTGCATAAAAGGGCGTCTAATATTCAATACGTACGTATAGAGCGATCGTCCCGAAATATGATGGATTTTATTGCAATCTGGCTTTAAAAAGCAATCAAAAATCTTACGGCTAAACTTTGAAAAGTAGTAGAAATTATACTTTCGATTAACTACAAACAATAATCGAAAATCAGATCACTTTACTCTACTGCAAAGTTAAAGAGGAACCATGGTGCCCAACTCTCCCTGAAAAAATACTTCTAAAGGAAATTTAGCAATATTTTTTACTGAAATTTCAGGATATTTTACATCAAATAGCGGATGAAATTCTCTGGAAAATTGTGCGAAAAATGTTCTCAAATTCCCCAGGGAATTCGGGTTTCATTCAACAAAATTTTGCAACGATCGGGAACTCGTCGCGTTTTTCCTTGGCATAGCAGCGTTTAGTTTACCGCCGATCTATGAAACTAATCAACTTATCCGTCATCATCTTCGGTAATTAACGACATAAGATTTAAAGCTGAGCGGAAGATCTACTATTAAAACTTTTGATAAAAGTGATTCAGATAAAAATATACTGTAAGTATTACAAGCACAGCTCGGATTTCGTAAGTAAGCCGGATCCCATATAATAAAGTAAAAAAGCGAAGAAAACCAACAATAAAACATAGTATGAATTATACACAGGTGCAACCAAATGCCGATTCTCGATTATCAAAGTAAAGAATATTAATCGAGTTTAATGGCGATCATTGAAAAAGTACAGTGTACTTCTTTAAAACCTTTCTCGGTAAAAGAAGGCGAGCAGCTGTCTAATTGGAAAATCATGATACAAACATAGTTTTATCGAAGGATTTTCCAAAAATGCACCGAGAAAAATAGCTTTTCAAGGTAAAAGCAACGCGACTGCAAAAACCAAACAATGAACAAATTAATCATACCTATAACATCTAGAATGCAGGCAAATGTAAAGCATTATACATAAGTTACACATAAAATGAAAGCAAAGTTTTGGCACTTTCCCAGTTCAAAATAACCTGAAGCGTTGAACGAAAAAAAGAGAAAAAAGTAGATGTTTCTAAAAGAATTCTGTGCTTTTATAAAGATAAATAATTCCGTTTCATTAGTCTCTACTGGACGGAACCCTGTAGAAAAAAGTCTCCTTCGGCAAGTCAATCCTGCATGTACGTTTCAATACATGGTAAGAAATCACTGATGATTTCATTGAAAGCATTGAGTCATGTATAATAACGAGCTTAGCTGTTATCATGTAACATTTAAAAAGATTCGAGTTAAAGGCTGAACTTCATTTTGAGACCACATCCCACATCAAGACAAAATACTTATTCAAGAGACAAGAAAATGAAACCATCATCTCTTCCCTACTTTCTCATACACGGCTTCCATCGAATTGAAAGTTTGTCAGCAAAATTACGTCTTTATGAGAATAATTAACGTGCAAACGGCCGGAATTATGTCCTCAATTACAAAATTTTCATTACCCTGCAAATGAATTCATCATACTTATAAACCGACACAGACAAACCGAAATCCCTGCGGAATAAGTGTACCCACTTTCAGAAGGCAAGGGGGGGATCTACATGGTTGAATTTGTTTGTATTAAGAGTAAGTACCAGAGTTTAGGAGCTTGGAGGAAAATGCGCATAAGTGTTTTTTTTGTCATTTTAAGAAATAAGTGTATTCAGTTTCAAAATCACTGAGAGCCTTGGGATGAATAGATGGTTAAAGTTTCATTTTAAATGCTTAAAAATCGGATTTTATTAGTGAATTTTTTACAGAATAAATTTTAAAACTAGCTCTACCTAGTTAAAGTCATTAATATCTCAATTTTTTCCAAAACTGCTTTTGCCCCACTTGTCCTCAGAGCCCCCCAATTTAGATGACAGATCTTCCGTCTTACGGTAAGAGGGAGTAACCTTCTTTGGTTTGGACTCAACTTGCGGTTGTTAAAATGAAAGACCGTAGCTTAAGTTTTGTGCAGATTGCTCCTTCAAAAGAACTAGTGATTTTTTTACATTGAAAGATGAAAATTATCAGTTTAAAAAGAAGGGGGGGGAGAGACGTGACGAAAACTACTCGTCTCTGAAATCACATAAGCTCTTTTCGCAACATTCCAGACTCCTTTCTGTAATTCATTTTTTTTATTTAATGGAAAAGTAACAGACATTACTAATTGAAAATGTCCAGAATATGTTCTTTTTTCGAACAAAAATCGGAGAAAATTTCCGAAGATAAAGTTGGCTTGTTTCCCCTCAAGAAAATTAGGAAAAGCAGAAATTTTGGGACAGTCATGTAGAATGCGTGGCTTCAAATTTTAAACAACAATATTTGAGCGAAAGGTTTTTCCTGAACATGCAGGCACCGAGGCACTCTACATACTTATTTCACAAAGCTAGTTAAGGTTGGAGCTGTGTATCTCTACAGGATTACAATTGGATAAACCTTTTTATTTTTACATTACATGAGGAGTAAAAATAACTGCTAGTATTGAAGAAAGATGGAAACGATAGCGACTAAGAGACATAAAAAGTGAAAAGTTGTCAGGAAAGGAAACTCTCCTGTGTGCTTAGAAGTTTTAACAACTCTAATCGTCTATGCCAAAAACAAATTCCTTGTAATATCAAATTCTTCCATATAACAAAAAGCAAACGTGCGAACAGGGAATCATGCACGAAGCGTTATGGATTTTTAACATGCATTTTAAATGAACTTTGCGCTTCCACATTCTATTTGAAGTGCTCTTCTGAATCATTGCTGGAAATGACACTGATGTAGAATATGGAGGCTAATTTACTTAAACTTATTCAAGAGTTAAAAAGAAAAATTTGAATTAGAAAAGCTCTAATTTGAAAACCTTATTCTTAACAAAAACGAATATAAGCTGGAATTTTACTTCACAAATACTTTTTTAGGCATGAAGGAGCTTCAGCGATTGTCACACTTAATTTTATTCCTATCCTGAACTTAAGGCAGATATTAAATAGTATTGAAGAGCGTTCAATATCGACGGTGAAACTACCAAACCACGTATCTCGGTTTGCGACGTCGCAGACTTCCTGTCATACTTTATTTTTTAAATGAAAAACTACTTAACGTCTAGTCTTGAAAATTTCTGTGATTTTTCCTCTTTGTGCGGAGAAAATTCTGTGAAAATTTCAAGGAATGATATTGATTTGGTCGACTTCAAAAAAATAAAATGCGAGCGTAGATTTTTAAACACCGCAAACGAGATACGTGGTTTGGTAGTTTCACCGTCGATATGTCACTAAGCTAACAATTGAAACATTAATGTATTTTCTCTGATAATAACACATCATTTAGAGCAGCCTCATAGTATGTCGAGACAAAATTCAAGTATTGTTTAGGTCACCTCTCATCAGTAGTGCCATCTAACTGTATGTATTAACCTGCTGAGTGATGCTGATTCGGAGGTAATCAGAGATTGACATTCGTCTCAACATACGATTCGTCCGTTCTACTGTCTGGAATCTGTGTTCATTAAGCTATGCTTGAGGTTTGGAAATCTTTGGACAATGTGAGGATGCAACAATGACAGTATACTATCTACTATTTTACCATGCTACTTGACCACGTTGTTGCAGTAAGTATCCCTAGCACTGTTCTTTTGGCATTCCTTGTGGAATTTTCAAGTCCTAATATCACTTGAAATTTTGGAGAGATGATTTTCTTCCAATGAGATGTGCGCTCTCAAAATGGACATTACTATGTACTTCACAAGGTTATCTAAATAATCATATCCCTATGCGATTTTAGGGCTGCTCTGGCTGATTAAGCTCAGAAACAACTTGATTTTATGTTCAAAATCACATGAGTGAAGCAAAAATCAGTTCCTACTTTTAGCCGTTTAATAGAATACAAGAAAGAATAGGATTAAAGGTTACAGAATTCTAACAACTGACATTAGTATCAAATTATTTACTTATATTGTTAGAAACGGTTCATCGAAATTTGAAATTAATTCTTCACCTTGGAAATGCAAGTTTCAAGAGTAAGGGGCTATCAACAGATTGCAACTGTAGGACCCAATCTGGATAAAGAGTTAAATAGCATCTTAGAACCCTGAATGACAGAGGAGGAATCTGAAATAGATACGAAACAAGGGACAGCCTGCATAGTATTCATTCGCGCACATGTTTCTTACAGTTCCTAACTAAGATGTTAAGATCAGGATCTAGGATTATGCTTAATTCCTTTGTGGCATAGCGGACGAATCATGAGGAGATTCTGCATATGTAGTATCTATTGATTTGCTGAGTATTAAATTGGCACCTGTCTTGGGTCAGTTCACTCTTAAATATATCTTATCTGCAAAGAAAAACGTTCGGAGCTTTCCCTCAGATTTCCATCCAATCATGAAAAATTTCCTTCTCTGCACCTTCAGCCTTGAAATGACAGGATCTGAAGCCATAGATGGCTTAAAGGAATTTTGTTCACCTGCCGCTCCCTAAATTAGTCGACTGAAGGCAAAAAGATGCCAAATTCAAAAGGAACTGTATACCTACTACTGAACTTGAGGCCTTAGAACAACTAGTTCCCTTCGAGTCTGCTTATATTAGCTGAGAATTTTCAAACCTCTAATTATAAATAGCACTACACCTTTGGTTATCTGCAACACGCTTCTGCCATTGGAATGCTTCGTAAAGAATAAGGTTTTCAGTATGGGGTAATCGTTTACTAAAGAACTAGCAAAAAAAATTATGAACTAGACTCACCTTTAGATTTTTGTTTTTCAAGAAACATCATCTGCTCTTGTTTGTGCCAAGCATCCGGCCGTTTAGCTTGCACCGCTGCCACAGTATTATCCATGGCTGACGGCGATGGTTTAATATTCAGGAGAACCATGAAGCCATGGGGAAGACGCCTAGGGCGTTAAAGGATACTTTCAATAATGACACTTGGTATCCTTAAATTATTGGGGGGAAAAGAAAAGAAAATGATGGAAAAGAAAACAAAACACTATCACAGGCACTGGATGATCAAGAACACAACATACCGACACACATGAAAACTAACGATTCGTCGCGTAGATAAACAGAAACCGGGTCGGAAAATTTAACGTGATTGAGCATCATTTTATTTTAAACGAACACGTCATTGTTGCACGTAAATTTCACGAAATGTGACTCGGGAACTGTTTCGAACTTTCATAACCTAAAATGCTTGATATCGCGGAGCGAATCCGACACAACATTATTTCACACCGAATTAAAAACAGCACAGAAAATTAAAAATTATCGCCGAGAACCAGCTAAACGTAAATTCGAAGAAACAGATAATCACGAAAGAGTGCGCGAATAGATAAATACAAGTCCGAACGGCGATGTTTGTCAACAGTTTCACACTGCACGGTAAACCAACGGTCGACTGCGACTCAAAATGTCGGAATTCGGCCACCCCTCAGACGTCTGGAGAATGAACCGTTCCAACTTGAATCAAACGTGCGCTCCAAAATAATAACAAACGGGCACGGCGAACATGTGGTCCCAATCGCTTAGATTTTAATAACGATTCTTTTTCAGATAAAACTCCCGAAGCCAGGACCGAGTTACTTTACACAAAAAATACTCAAATGTACGTAACAAAAACGAAAATAGTGTTTAGACCCACGGTTTAATGAACCGATAACACCCCGATGGGTACGCAACTCCGCCTTGATGATAACACTTCTCTCTCATTCTCATATCTTCGTATGTTATGTCAGAAGAATATAACTCATAAATATAATTAAAAACGAGATAGAAATGGCGTCTTACTGTATGGTAATTCGAAGTAAATAAAAAGGTATTGAGGATGAATGTAGATCAATGAAATTAAAAAACCAATGTGCTCCGCAAAGGCGGGGCGCGGGAACGCTCATACTTCCGTTTCCGGCGCTAAACTTTGCACGATTTTTAAAGTTATACCGTTAGAATAATGGCGAGACGGGAAATTGATTTTGAAAACGGCGAGCCACGGGACGTTTCAAGACAGAAAAAATGCGCATGATGTGACCAGTATCCGCAAATGCCACGCTACATACGATCACCGGAAATAAGTGACGTGCAAAAATTAAAAGCGCGCCATTTAACTGTGCTGTAAAAGTTGATGTATTTTTTTATAAAAATTTAAAAGAAATATTAAAGAAAAAAAATCAATAAGGCTATTCTTGAATATACGAAATTCGAGACAGTTCTCGCCTCTTTCGCTTTCGAGTGGTCTGAATAAGATATTTTACCCGCAAAATGGAGGGGCGGTCGGTTCGGAGGGAAAATAATTAGGTGAATACACTTCATAGTTACATGCACGCATCGTCAGTGTGAAAGACAGGTGTTCTCATCATTTTTTTTCCTGACACCCCGCGCGTAAATCATGACAATGAGTCATTGGCTCCGAATTCTGGTGACGTCAAAATGATGAACTCATTGCCAAAGACGGACAGGGAGCTTCCCCGTCTTGGCGCTCGGCAAGGTTCGGCGCGGCGCGCACGGGGCAGCTCGGACTGCTGCTTTGGCTTATCCGGTGAATGAACGCGCTCTTGCCGACAGTCGCTATGCGCCACTGCGCCCTCTATCGGGCTAAATTCGAACTTCTCTCCGCCGTACTACCGGCATCATACCGGCTTGTTCTCTCTTCCCAGTTCCCAGTTTCCGTCATCTTCTTCCCTGTGTGCCTGGGTAAGGTGCGGAGAAATTCATAACCAGGGTGGCAAAATTTCATGAGATTTAAAATCATTGAATTTCTCCTGAAATATTCAGAAATTAATGCAATTTATAATTTAAAATAAATTAGGTGATGAAGATCAATGTTTCTTTGCTTTCAAGTAGGTACGGGTTGCACATATTGGCCCCTCGAAGATAATTTTTCAAAAATGCAATAAATTTCATACCTTTCACGGGCTCGTGAAATTTCCGGAAATGGGCAATTTTCTCCCTTTTTTTTACGAGCATGCCACCCTGTTTATATACGTGTTCCATGGAATTGCAACGCCCAATCTGTCTGAAATTATTTTTAAATATCGGAGATGATTATACTTCCATCCTTCTAAATTATTTGCGAGATACATTTCAAAAAAGTATTGAAAAGATTTTCAAGCGAAAGATGAAGAGGTAAAATCGAACACATTTTCGCAGTACTTGTGCAATAATGTATTTAAATAAAAAAAAAATCTAAAACATTCTCAAACATTTTTTTTAGAATTTGGGGTGCTAATTAAATAATAAAATATTAAATAATAAAAAATAATAAAATTACTATAGTTGTGCCTATGTTCCTCAGCAGGGGTGATTCCAGACTACGTTTGGAAAACGGTTGGTTCAGTACTGTTGCCCGAAATTGATCAAGCAATACACGGAAGTTTTTCTGATGGAGTCGTTAGAAACCGAGGTCCCGCAAGTATAAAACTAGTTTTCCTTAAGCTATATCATATGTAAAGATTTGCCGGTAACATCAAACGAGGCTATGGGAAAGAAAGAAATGAATCGTTACATAACGCAAGGATAATTTCAACGGAATTTTGAGTCATTGATTTTTCCCCTGATACGAATAAATTTCCTTGTTATGGGATTCATCCTATTAGAAAAACAAAGAAATAATATGTGTAAAAAATTGTCGCGGTGATTGATCATTTCCTCGATGCAGCGTCCTTACATGCATTACTCGAAGAATTCATAGGGACATAAAGGTGATTCGTCAAGCTCAAAAGAAGTGGTCGAATTGGCATGCGATATATCGCATCTACTAGGTCAAAAGACTCGGCAGATTTGGAATATGTAGCAAAACAAAGGACGACAGCCCCTGCGCATGAGCCTGAGGAATTATTCTACACCCAAAAATTGCCAAATTCAGAGAAATGAAAGCAGAATAGTGTGAGGAAAAAAACCTCGCAGTCGATACAGAAATCGATAGCTGAATCGAATGCGAGGTTTTTTTCCTCACACTATTCTGCTTTCGTTTCTCTTAATTTTGCCGATTTTCGGGTTTAGAATGATTCTTTAGGCTCGTGCGCAGGGGCTATCGTCCTTTTTGTGCTAAAAATTCAAAATCTGCCGATATTTTTAACTTAATCGATGCGATAAATCCAGGCTCGGACTGGCCATAGGGCCAATCTGTTACTGGCAGATACTCCCATGCCTCCCTCAATTAATATTATAGGTGAATTTTTTTCATTTCAATCATTTCATTTTCAATTTCATCATCAATCAATTATTAACTGATCTAGAACCACCATAACGATTGCTGGAATAATGATAGTTATATTTTTAAGATCACTTTACAGGCCCGCCACAAGGGGAAGGGGATACTGGGTCCCTGATACCGGGGCCCGGGCCCCGGAGGGAGCCCGTGTTACCCGTGAAAAACCACTACGAAATCATATGCAACCCTTGTTTCATAAGAAAAAGTGAAAAATTTACCCTGAAAATTTCGCAAAAGGTGAATAGATTTTCAGAAACACGCTGGGGCACTTTAGAATTCTTTTTAAATTTTCAAAGAAGTATACTTCCTGGAAAATATCTATCTATTTTCAAGATTTTAAGTATACTTCCTGGAAAATTTCTATCTATTTTCAAGATTTTCAGTACAGAGGGATATTTTTAGTAGCTGCGTTTCATTTTCTTCCGTCCTCAGATGCTAAGAGTCTCCAGTCTGGGCATCCTCGACTTCAATGGCTCATGGCTTAACTCCCTTGCCATAGACAAACGAAGGGGGAGTCCAGGGGTGCCTGGCCCTCTTAGAACTGAAAATAGTATCATATGACCCCCCCAATAAAAAATAAAAATTTTCCAGATGTTTTGAATGCAACAATTCGCAAGTATTTTGTGCTGAAAGTAGGAAAAAAAACATAATTATTCCGCAGAAATTGATGGAAAACTTTGTTATGGAAGCTTCAAAATGCGTCCGATTAGTCGTATAAATTCTAAAATTTCTCGGGGAATGCCCCTCGGACCCCTCCCCCCCCTCCATGCTTGAGGCCCAGACCTTAATACTGATACCAAGGCCCGAGATGGGATGTGGCGGGCCTGTCACTATATAGAATTTTTATACTTTAAACTTTATTATAGTACTAGGCGCGCCGAAAACGCGCCCCTCTGACAGACAGCAAAAAAAATTACGACCGAGAATATATGCGGACAATTTCTTAAATGAACGGAAGAAGAGAGAGTTAGGAGTAAGGAAAGGTGCTTTCACGCATGATAGTCATGAATAGAGGTCCAAGAACTACTTTCTGAAGCGTAAACACTTTTCTGTGAAATTTTTCCTTTTCGTTGACGTACGTGCGCTTCATCATCCCCCTCTTTCATTCGCTATGTGTAACTCCCTTAGAAGCGATGGTCGGTTCGATTGTTACACATACTCCCTCTCTATAGACTCTCGAGGGACCTTTAAACATATTTCTTCCTTTTCAAAATGACTATTGATTTGGAATTACCATACCATATCTCGGGCAAACATGACCTAAATTTATCTCGAAATTCAAAAATAAGAAACACCTAAAAAGTAAACGCGATAAGTGTTCGCGCAAGATGGATGTCCACATTCCATATGAAAAAATTAAGACGCGATGGCGTGAGTCGTAAACTCACATAGCTCTCCTCTATGCTATTAGTTTGAGGCACTATCACGAATAAGACAAACGGAAACAAACACAATATGAAAATACAGCGAGGGAAAGGATGCGCGTTTACGACGGCGCAGAGATACAACTATTCGTACTTGATGGACGTCCGTGCTGCATCCGAAAAATTGAAGGCGCGATGACGCGGAGCGTGAGCTCTCAGTGCTCTGCCATATGCTGCCAATGAGAGGTCGCTCAGATTCAGGAGAAAAGTTAAAAAAGAGGCCCGAACACATCTCTCCTACCTTCGGCTGTGTTGATACTCGTTCTTTCTTCCTTTTTCAGGTTCTTGTGTGATTTTTTTTTTTTTTTTTTTTTTTTTTTTTTTTTTTTTTTTTTTTAGGATGGATTTGCAGACCCAATCTTAAGCTTATGTAAACCGCAGCACTGGATCGATTCTTTTGGAAATAATGGTGCTTGGATGCGTTTAGTGACTTTAATTTTTCATGTTTTTTTTTTTTTAAATTTTAGAAGTCTATCGGTTACCTCAATACGTTCAATTTTGTAATTTTTACTCTTCACAATTAATAAACTTTGAACCTGAAAATAGCGTAAACTTGCGCTGCTTTGCCAAAATTTTCTGAACCCCTCTCCACGGGGGGTAGATGCCCTACTAGGAAATATCACATTACGCCCCTTTAACCAGCCAAAGGTCTACGCCCTCAGATGCGAGCCAGTCCGACCCTGGATAAATCGCAAGCCAGCACGACCACGTCGCTTGACGAATCACCTTAAAACTAATCTGATTTCATTTGTATTCCTTCTTTTTTTCTTTCTTCTAATAAGGGCCCAA